GTGTCAATGGTCTTGTGCTTCAGCCCATAGAACTAAACTCCTCCCTTTGATGCAAAAATGTAAGCTCCTGCCATGTAATATGAATATATATATTAGCAACCATTTCCACATAAAAATTGTGGTAGTTTTGAATATAATGAATTAGATATACGTACCAAGAGTGGGCATCAAGACGGAGAGAAAGATGGTTCCGGCGATCTTGAGAGGCAAACCTGTCTTGATCATGTCTTTGATCTCAATATGCCCCGTGGTAAACCCAACAACGTTGGAGGGTGTTCCCGTAGGTAGCAAGAAAGCGAACTGAGCCCCAATAGCACCTGGAACCATCAAGAGCAAAGGGTGGATTCTCATGGTCTTGGCGATCTCAATGAGTAACGGAACCAACAATGTAGTGGTTGCATTGTTTGAGGTAAACTCTGTGATGGTAGCAGCAATGAGGCAAACGGTTGGAGCAATGGCCCAATAAGGAGCTGTTTCGAGAAAGACTAGTCCTTTAGACAAGACTTCAGCTAAGCCACTGGTCCGTACACCATCGGCTATAGCGAAACCAGCTCCTAACAACAACACTATGTTCCATGGGAGTTTCTTGCATTTTCCCCAATCCATTAGCTTCTCTCCTTTCTTAATCTTGTTAGGTATTATAAACAACAATGTAGCCATCATCACACTAACCGTACCATCCCCGGCTTGGCCATCGAAGATCCGACCCCAACCGGGGATATCATCGGTTATGTTTCTTGTCATCCACAACACAACCAACCCACCAAAAACAGTTAAGACCATCTTCTCAGCGAAACTCATTGGTCCTAACCTTTCAAGCTCTCTCCTTAGATGAGACTTGTCTAAATAAGGAGAGAGAGCTTGTCCTGTTCCTTTAGGACAATACAATACACATAGAATACCCCAAAGCACCACGAATAAGCACAAAGCCATTGGGAAACCGAAGAAGAACCATTGGCTAAAACTGATTGGTTCAGCCTCAGGGAAGTAACTCTTCCACATTCCGACAAGTATTAGATTCACACCTGTTCCTGTAAGTGTACTCATTCCACCAACCGCCGCCGAGTATATCACACCGAGAATCACCGCTCTGCTGAATTTCCCGATCACCGGAGGCACTACTTCCGACGACGAAGACGAGGGGAGTCTTTGAAGTATCCCTGTAGCGACTGGCATCATCATGACTGCAGCCGCTACGTTATGCATCCACATGCTCACGAACGCCGTTGTTGCGCATATGCCAAGAAGAAGCAGCGGTGCGTTTAGTGGCTCCACGCAAAACACCATCGTTACCTTCACGAATAATTAGATTATTCATTAATGTTATGTCATTAGCTTATCAAAGTTAGATTCGATGGTTTGGTTTTTATTTATTAATTGAGCTCAACTTAATTATGATATCTTATACTGTTGAATGATAATAGTTGTACGCTAATTAACTCACACGCGTAGCGGTAAATCATGTTGTTTTTTTTTTAATAGTGCCAACTGCCAAGGAATAGATTGTGTACGTGTATCTCAAGTATCGTTTTGGTTGTCTTAATAAAGTAGGATACTAAACTGATTGGCCTACTTCAGAGAATCTATTTATTATATACATAGTATATTAAAAAACAAAAAATAGCATAAATAAAAATTTGTTTTCGAAATTAAATAGAGGTCTTGGTTTATTTATATTTTCAGATTAAAACTTTCTGGCAAATATCAAACTTGAACATTGTACTATTGTGGGACAAGAAGTTATATAGACACAGTTGATTGAATAAATGTGTGGGGAAAAAAAAAACAGAATCTGAAATTATTTGCATCCCCACGTTATATAGATGGACCCACTACCCA